ACGCCTTCGGCGCCCGAAATCTTGCCCCCCCAATCAAAATTTCCTGCCGCCGCCTCTGTACCTAACTTCAGTTCGCAGCCACTTAGTCCATGTCCGATCGTTTGTGTTTATCTCTGTCTTTCTGAATTTAAAAAAAAAACAAAAATCGTCTAGTTTTCTTCCAGTTTTGACTACACCTCCAAGTGTGTTTGGCACTCACCTGTATATCCGCGGAGGGATATTTAATTAGTGACAAAGTGAGAAGCTGCTTATGCTCAACTAGTAGCAGGACACAGTTTTCGCCCTTTGGGGATTCCTATAGTTAAGGAGCCCAAAGTGAGAGGGTCTCAAACCCGACGCATTCCTCTACAAGTCAGCAAAGTTTTCACCTCGCTATCCTGCACGAAAGAATCTCGGCAGCTTTTTCAAGTAATGTGCCGCACTACTTTGTTCCCGGAAAAGTGTTCTGTGACCCTTTCATACCTGTCTACGTTGCTCTTTGTCTAGGGTGTGGTGAGGTGAGTACGAACCACGGACTGCATATGCATGAGTCCCGAACAACATGATCAGTACGACCATTTGACTCCATCTGAGTATAGGGTATGATAGGCTTTGCCAGTGATAACTGTACATATCGAAAGGTAAGGTTCCAATGGTTTATATCAACTACAACATAATTCTGTTTTCTATCGGCACGGACGGAATCCGTGGACAAAATGGCTACCGCAGTCCTTCAAATCTGACGCCAATGCTCATTGACAATTTTAGTACAGGTGGAAGAGCAATGTGCACTATTTTCAGCACGCTTTCTATCTTCTAGAATCAAGACATGATCAACGAATGGTTTCATTTCTGGAGAAAAGAGGAAGATTACTTGCTGCCTGTCGTTACGAGGAACAATCCGTTGTTACAGGTGACTGCGTACGTTAACTACGGATTCTAAACTACAATGTACTTTGTACGGAAAGGGTAAGTCCCGGATCCCGGGTAGTACCTGTCCCTTCAACAGGATCCGCGTAGTACCTGTCCCGTCAACAGGTCCATGTATACATGGAGGTACAAAAATCATGAATTTTGTAGGGAGGTACAAAAATCACATGAGGTACACACATCATGTGATTTTTTAAACCTGGAAGCCAGAGTACAGCGAGTCGCAAAACAGCGAATGGGTGTTCCAATATGCAAAAATAACATGGATCAATATGTCAAATTAAATGATTTGTTGCAGCTAGTTTAAACATTTAGTCAGGTATAAACCGTTGTGAGTTCACAATACAGGTTTTAGTCAAGGTCGAAATATAACCATTGGTATCTGGACCACGAGGGGTGAACTCTTACATGTAGGTAATACGTTAACACAGGCTTCTTTAGACGGTTTCTAGTAGACGGTTTCTAGGTCATTCGCCCCGTCTATTTACTACCAGATCGCCCCATGTTTAAGTGACCAATGCTATGTTTTATTCAGGTGATTTATGCATGAATCTTACTTCTAAATATTCTTGAAATATTACCAAAGCGTTGTGACTATATTTTGAATTTTTCTTCTTTGTTTACCGCCGAATCCCCGATGAAAAGTCCGGGTGTGCGGCGGGCCGATATGCGACCGGAAACTGCTTGCCGAACGCAGATGAAAAATTCAAAATATAGTCTACAAGGCTTTGTAACATCTAAAGAATATAAATGTTACCAAAATATGCGTATATCACCTGAATAAAACAGAGTTCAGGTCACTTAAACATGGGGAGATCTGGTAGTAAATAGACGGGGCGAAAGTGACCCGGGGCGAATCGAAGATGTAGCCTACAAGATTCGTGGTACAAGCGGTTTTTGTTACTGTTTGCAATTTGTAAATTTGTTCATGTTTGCAACTAAAGGTTACAACTAAAGGTAGAATCACTTAATCCCATGATTCAAACATAAAAGTTCATTACAATTTGTATAGAACTGTGATACTCGCCATAAACAAACAAAAAATATTTCAATCCATAATCGCAAATGAGAGAAAAGTATAACAGATTTCCTTCTTTCCAAATTTCCCCGATAGTTTCAAACTGGTACGTCCTGTGCGGTAGAGACATCACGGAACTTATTTCAAATTTAGAAAGATTCTATTAAAGGGGTCTTTGAACACGGCGCTATCTGACTTCGAGTTGGAGTCATTTTGCAACAATAAATACTCAAAACGGCCCGTGTTCTCAAATGCTCCAGCCGAATCATATTCTTTTGTTAACGGTGTTGCTCAACGCAAAGCCAAATGACCACTTCTGTGCACTGAGCTAGAGCGGATACAGACATCGGTGGATGTTTAGTTTGAAAGAAGTGCACACTACCCTAACTTTCTTAAAACAGAAGCTGTGATTGCCTTCTATTTAAATGTTAATTACCTGAAACAAAAAAAATGAGTGTCATCATCGACTCATGCTTTGTGCTGCTGACCCATCAAATTACAAAACTGACATGCGACAAATATAAGTGTATCTTCTTCTCATGCATTTATTCTTCGTTGCCATGAAGGATATGAGAGGTGAATGAAACATTATAGTGGTGAATGACATTATTTTTTCTTATTTTCAGGCAGATCCCACCCGCTGAGCTGCAGCACAAAGTACACAATGGTCATGTACAACAGATACAACAGTCAGAACAGAAATCCAGTGTTAGAAGGTTCACTTTGGATGGAGGATGATGCTCTCTTGGACTTTTGGAAAGGCACCACCAGAATGGAAACAGTTTTCAGGCACGTGACCACAGGGTTCGTGGATTGGTGTCAAACAGGCCTACAGCAGAAAAATAGAGCTACACATGTGCAAGTGGGAGAAGTCATAGACCATCTAGTAAATAAATAAGAAAAAATGTCACACTGGCAATGGCAAAGTTCACGCACATCTCAACATGGATGGAAAACTATGCATGTCACTGAAAAGGAGAAAAAATGAGACAAGTTGAGGTTAAAAGAACAATCCAAATACAGTATCATGGCACCATGCAACTCCTGCAAGTGATGTTCCAACCTGGCAATGGCTTCAACCCAAAGCAAATATATGGAAGGGAAAGAAGAAAGTATTTCTGCATGTGTGAGTCATAACAACATGTCACTTCCATCAGTGAGAATCTGTATTTCACAATGTACCTGCGCTTACACCAGACAAGATACCTGGATCGGTGTCTTCAAGAATTCCAAGTAATAGCAGCAAGATGAACACCATGATAGGTGGCAAGGATCAGAGGTGAGAAGATTCTCTCTGTTTTGTTTGTTTCAAAAATATGGAGAAAAAATGGTTGCAGTCATGTCATTGATGATTTGTAGTATACACCCACCCCATTTGAAAATTAAGTTGAGTTCTGAACTTTTGAAGTTCTGAACGCTTGCGAATTGTTAAACCTCTCAAGTCCCCTTAAAACAAAGCTCATTATGTACCTGTTTATGGTCTCATATCTTTAACTGAAGCGCCTAAATTTGTATATATATATACCCAGTACATAGACCAGAGCAGGTAAGGTGCAGGTAGATATCAGAAATACCTGCACAGCTCTTACTATTTTCATCTGCACTGACCAGCAAGTGGTATTTCTGGTATTTCTATACAATATGCTCTGCCAACATTGTTTATAAATAGCTTGCAAAATGGCGGGAAACACGTCATAAGTCAGGGCGCTTGCGCAAACGATACAAACAATATGGCCGCTGTATGAACAGTACAGATACAACTATATTTTGTTGCTTGAAAATTTCTCCAGTCTGTGGTAAGTGACAGTAATTTGCTAAAACTGATGCATTCAAAAGAAAGATTACCGTGGACAAACAAAGATAATGGCTTGTTGTTGGTTCATGTAATTCAGAGCTGAAAACAATCGGCGCCGTATAAAGTTGTGCGCCCGAGGCAAACATGGGTTTTCATGTGACTGGGCGATGTCAATTGATTTTCGTCAACATTTTTGTAACATATACTCAAGTCTGCAAGTCAACCAATGCAACTAGTTGCAGGAGGAACTAAGACTAAGACTAATACTCAACATCAACTGACATTACAGAAAATGGTGCATTTTATATGCAATGCTTCAAGAATTGCTATTTGTACACCACGCCAACCAAGGATTGAACTCAAGAACTCATTTTTTCCCCTAGGACTGTCAGAGTACAACTCGTTGTCACATATGAAGTAGAGGCATAATCACTAGATTGCTTTAGATGTGCAAACATTGGGAGTAACAGGTTGTTTGGTGTAATACAGTCAGCTGCCGCTGTGCCCATGCCTTCAATGCTAGTGTGTTGTGCCGAAAGGCGGTCATACCGACTACGTAGGAACAGAGCACAAGTCTCAGTTGACACCTGCATGAAAGTTTAGAAACATGTACTAGGTCTCAAACAATGTGAAACATCATATTTGCTATATTTGGAGGTCAAATGTTACAAAATAGTTCTATGCCTTCTGTGAAGTTTTGTAAGGGCTGTCACATTAGATAAATTAATGCACATTACTAATGTCCACTTTAATTTATGTATGTATTTTAACCTTTGGTATCTTTACAAGAGTGTTGCAAAAAATGTACCATCTTGAATACCACTCTCTTTCACTTGAAAACTCATTTCACTTCACTTGAATGCTTCCACTCATTTTCACATCCGAAGATGTTCGTATTTACAAAAATGTGTGAAATTTTTGTCATAACATAGGTGTGAAAAGGTCACGTCATCACTTCAAGGATGCCTTTGGAAATTCGCAGCCAGAACATGCCATCACTCTCACAGGTGCAACAAGGACCTCCAGCTGCTGCAGCTGCATACAGCACGGTCCCAGCTGCATATTCTTCTTCTGTGAGTATTCTATACAAATCTATATTTATGTACAATTTATATTCTATTCAAGTATATCTACGTGTGTGTGTGTGTGTGCACATTGTCAGAACGTACTACACCTGCGTCGTATTCGCACATATAAGGTTAACATCCCCGTCTGTGGTTTCCAAATGTTATGTCGGAAAAGATATCCTCTGCAAAAGGCAAAATTCTGATGCAACGTTGACCAAAAATCCAACGAAAAACATGAAAAATGGGTGCTTTGCAAAATTCTGATGCAACGTTGACCAAAAATCCAACGAAAAACATGAAAAATGGGTGCTTTGCGCAAGCGCAGTATGTACTGCCGACATACATCCACACTTGCATGGCAGGTTGCATGACTTACTGTAAGACTGCATGAAATTATAATATGCATATACATGTAATTGTGAAAACTGAAGCTAATCAATTATGGGTATCATCATTTCAGATCTACCTGCAGCACCTCCTGCGGTATGATGATGTGGACAGGGAGGACCTGTATCGAGGTAGGTTATGTCTGATACTTCAGCTTGACACTCAGAAAGAATAATGGTAGCTTGAATCTGTCCAACAGAAGCTTTGCAAGGTTTGTTGAGATGTACCACTTTATGGAAGGATTAATATAAGAGGTGACATATCAACCAGACCAGCCGACGCATGGACTTATGCCGGAAATTTGCTTCTAAACTCAACTCTGATCTCCTCCCACCGAGAGGAAGTGAGGAACATGGCAGGAACACACGAAATGTTAAGAACTGTGAAATGCAGGACAAACAGATACAAAAACCCTACCATACCATATCTAACTCATCTGTTAAACGAATAAATAGAAATGTTGTATTTGGCAGAAGCATTCAGAAAACTTGAGCAAAGAAAAATATCTTTGTGACTTATATGACACAGAACTTAGACCCTGTAAATCATACAGATCTGATACTGTTGCTTATAGTATACTTATGTGCATTGTGTATAAGGTTTTATCTTTAAAACGTTATTTTCAAGCTCAGACTATTTTGGTTGAGTTTGGACTGATTGTCAATTTTCTCACAGCTTCCAAACCATCAAATTGCTGGTTATGATAATATGCTATAATAAGATAGCCTACACATATCTGAATGGCAACTTAATTCTTGATTTGCCAAATTAAGTCACCATGCTAAATAGAAGAACAGTTATTATATGGTTTGATAACTAACATTCAGCATTTCTTGCAAGACAAATGTATGACCATGATGTTTGCATTCTATCTCTAATAGAGTCACGGAAGCGAACAGGAGACAAAGGCAGCAGCTGTCTTCCGAAGAAAAGGAAAACACAGTAAAGGTATGAAGATTTAAGTGCATAATGATTATGAAACCTGGCCATACTGGCCTGATCTAAAAGTCTGATTCTTTATGGTTCAATACCATTAAATGGCTGTATGTGTGGTATAAATCTTGTTAATTGAGTCACACTATTTTTGTAGATGACAGGAAATGTTGCATTTTGGTGTCATAAACATTGTAACACTTGTCCTGCTGGCATTTTGTACACAATATTTTCAAATAATTTGATGTCTTAACCAGCTCATAGAGCCTTGACTTTTTTGCCCTGCGGTGGCGTAGTTACTCCCGCATTTGTTGTATTTTGCTGCGGTGTGATGCATTACACAAGAAATATCCCAAACTGTACATATACAGGGTGCAACCCATATATATATATAATGTTATATGGGCCCCGCAGGACAAAGGTTTTAAGGCTTATATAAGTATCAATTACAATATGAATAACATGTCATGTAATTTTCTTTTTTTTTACAGCGGTGATGGAATGAATTATCAGCTGTACAAAATCTGGAATCGAGCATCGCATAGATTAGTTAGTTTTTTTTTAAAGTTACAAATGATAAATGATAATAGAACCTGTTGCAGATGTAAATGTATCAAGAGCTTCTGAATCTATTATTTAATATATTGGAAAAAGACCATCTCAGGCATATTCTGTGAAAGTTAGCCTTTTATGAGGCAAAACAGCAATAAGTACTAATTAGCAAAAACAGTGTAATGATAGCATTGGGCACGAAGTTTGTTTTAAAACATTTGAATTTTAGTTCTGAGTCAACTCTAATTTTTCTAAAACATGTAAAATGTTCATTAGTTGGCCCCAACATTTGAAGAAAGTCCTTTTCTTCCTGGTTGTTACAATTTTTCCATGTCAATGCAGTGGTGTCATCAAAAATTCATTGAATCACAGACCAGCCTGGAATGTTGACTTCATGTTGCATTGTAGTATTTGGGACTATCATAGGATATCTAGACCTGTTTTTCCCCTGTCGGTTCATATTTTTCTACAAATATCCAAGAACCAACTATTTAAATTGGTGTGACCTAATCCACAGTGCATACATGTAATTCATGAAAAGTTTTAAAATGTGAGAAATAAAGCTATCCAACTGTTGTCCACTTTGTCCTGGCCTGTCCTATTTATTTTTACTTGTGATTTAATTTACCATATCAAGGCCTCCTCCACTCACTGGTTAAGCACAAGGTAAGAACTGAATGAACAATAAGCATATTATGCCCCCCCCCCTCCCCTAAAATGTCTATAATTAACGAAGTTACTCTAGTAGCAGGAAAAGGGTAAGATGAAAATGTTTTATTCTAAATCTCTTCCAGAACTTCTGGAATCACTCATAACTATTCCATGCCACAAATACTGATCATTGAGACCTATGAAATCTTGTGATAAATTGAACTGGAAGACAACAAAACGGAAGAAAAGATTAGAATATCATCATCTATACCTTGTAACATGCCGCAATCCTTTCTTCCTCTCGCTGATGGCTGGCTGCACATGTAGGAAAATTTTCACTGTCTGGGGAGAATAGAAATGTTTAGGGAACCTCACTGTTGTATAAAAGTTGGGGGGAGGGGGGGGGGGTTGAAAGACAAACCATAACAGTACAGAACAACTGTGAGAACAGTGAACATAAAGGTACTGTGAAAAATCAGAAATATATATCAGATACTTTCAAATTCTCAGCAAAGTTGCTTTTATTTTGGATCATTTTTCTTCCACAACTGTCAACCAAACAACAAAGTTTTGACTCTATCGGTCTACATAGGTGATTTCCAGGTTACCATCACATTCAACATTTCTATATACATATTATTAAGCCTTATAAACAATACAATCTTCCAACACGTTAGAATTGTTCTAAACAAAATATGTAAACCACACAACGTTTCTGATTACCGCAAATACAAAATGTATAAGGAGACCAATTTTTTTGTCATGCATGTAGCAGCAGTTGATACAATGAAAGATTTTGTGCTGCAATGTGTGATTCAAAACAAACTCATGGAATTCCAGAACAAATGTACTGGTAATGCTAATTTATCGAATGTTGGTACATGTATACACACTGAGTTACAAATGTAGTTGCATTTCCATACAGTATTTCCTCCTGTACATTTCACTATAATGTATCTGGTACTGAATCAGGAGTATTTCATTATCAACAGAACCATATTGATCAATTATATACACATAAGGCCACACTGACTTGATTGTATGGATGACATCCATGTGCAGGGCTCGAAATTAACGGTGCCCCGATGGCCACTGACCACTAAAATTCTGGCCGGGACAACTATAAAGACACTTTGGGACATTTTGGGTACAATAATGTCAGCCCTTCTTTTGTTCACCAGGCACACATCCTGACTTTTGGCTCCAGAAAAGTCTTCCGAAAAACAGGTTGGGAAAGGTCATCCTCACTTCGGGACAGTTGAAATTAACATAGGGACAGTGCTGGGACAATAGTAAGAAAAGTTAATTTCGAGGGCTGCATGTGCGTCAATTTTTGTCCATTTCCAAAAAATGTTTGCAACCATACTGTTTCTTTAGGTACTTGGAAGGATGATAGATGTTGAAAGGCAAAGAAGAAGGAAGCAGAGCTGGAATTACCACAAATATGATGTGAAAGAACAAAAATTGAGAATTTATTGTTTGGTATACCTGTATACCATTAGATTTCATAATAAAGGCAACATTTTTTTCCTTTTCAACACATGCATCAGTTTTAAGATTAGGGTGCCCAGAGGATAACATCCATACAGTCAAAACTACGCAAGAAGACCAATCAGGTGACCGATAAAATCTGGTCTATGTGTACAAGTGGTCACTATAGACAGGACTCCTAATGTTTGTGGCAATGATTGGGAAAAATTATCCAAGGGACTGACAAAAAGTGGTGACATGGCCAGGTGGTCTTTCTGTGGAGGTGGTCACTAAAACTGCAGGTTTGACTGTAATCAAATCAGTATGGCCTAGTCCAGACCAGGGTGTTCAGACCAGTAAGAGGTGTGTGATGAACTCTGTGGCCTCTGATGTCTCTATCCTGTTCTGGGCCGGTGTGACGTGTCCGGGGAGCTGTACCCCCTGGGGTAGGGACACTGCCACCTGGGTTACCTCACTCACCTACAAACAAAAACATCAGGTATTAAACTGGTAACATCTACTAACCCTTGTCCTGCGGAGCACAATTGTTGTTCTGTACATACAGTACCATCTATATAACACCCTGTACAGGTACGATTTGGGGGTATTTCTCGTGCAAAGCATTACACCGCAGTGAAACGCAACGAATGCAGAAGTAACTATGCCACTGCAGAGCAAAAAAATTTGGGGGTCTATGATCTAATTAAGACATGAAATTATTGAAAAATGTTGTGCAGGAATGCCAGCAGGACAAGGGCATATACACATGGAAATAGTAGTTTCATAAGTCACAGATTTCGAAATCTATTCAGTAACTGTTGTTGTTGTATTTCCTTGGGTATCTCGTTACCTGAATGTCTAACCTTCAACGACATATCTACTAAAATAATTCTGCCATCCTGAAAGAATGCATCATCAATGCACTTCCCCCACTATAATGCACTCATGTATATCTAAACTGTGCATACCTGGTTAGTGCTGCACTAGAGATCTCTCAAACACAAAGTTTTCAAAGTGGCGTACATGTGTGTGTGTAACCCCACATTTCAAGTTTATCCTATTTCCTGTGTCTGACCTTTTGACCTCCTGTTATTATGCCTGTCAATCTTGCTACACACACGTGCTGCCAAGAATATCCTATATACTATTATACATTTAATATGTACAAAAATACCTACAAAAATTGGCACCTACAGGAAAAAAAATTGGGTGCACAACTTCAATGTTGTGTGCACTAAAGTGCACATGCACCCAGTATTTCGAGCCCTGCATGACCATTATCTTGCAAGACAAAGCGAAGTCTTACTGGAACGTTGACGGTCATCGGCATGGTGGTGACGGCCTGGTCACCCCCGCTGACCGGCACGGCGTTGACCTGGACGTTGCTGACCGGTATGATCTGCTCCTGCAGCTGGATCTGGCTGATCTGCTGTCTGAACTGTGCGTCCTGCGGCTGGACGGTGATGGGGATGTTCAGCGCATTGATGTCGATGGTCTCCACAGGTTTGACGTTCACCAGGTTGGCGGTCTTGAAGTGAGTCTTGACGTGAGCCTTCATGTTGGAACACTGCTTAAAACCTAGGAGAAAACAGTCAACACTTCAGATTCCTAAATCTACTGACAGACAGATATTACCGGTAGTATCAGTAGTGTGTACTTGTGTGCTAAATTATTTTGAAGAGATGACATACAATGTAAAAATTACACAAATGCAAAAAAGCAAGATCTAACATCTGTGTCCATAATATCACCAGGGTCCATAATATCGCCACCTTGAGAAACAGTGTGCTTTAAGATATTTTTACTGCAACATACTTTTGGTATGCACTCCTTCACACATCAAATGTACGTACCTAGGGTATGTTGCAGTAAAAATATCTTTAAGCACACAATTTCTCAAGGTGGCGATACTATGGACCCTGGTGATACTATGGACACAGATGTTATAGAATAGTCAACACTTTGTATACAGGGTTGAATTGTACTTGTTAGGGTATGTGTTTGTACCAAATTTTATCATGCTCACTTCAACTGTGATGGCACAGGAGACAAAAATATATATTTCAGTTAAAAATAGCACACAAAAAAACACCCCCAAAATTGCCTTCAAGGCCAAAATTGAAGAAGATCCATATCCCTACAACAAGTGGGTGCTTTTAGACAAATTTGCATAATTTTCAGCTATTTCATTGAACTAATAGCAATCTCAAAATCTCAAGATCTTGAAAGATTTTTCTTAAGTTTGTGTACAATATGAGAATTAAAAGACTATTAAGTTCACCCTGAAATATAGATTTGAAAGAGGGAGAAAAGTTCCTCCTACCAGCGTTGCAATGCGGACAGCGGTACGGCCGATCGTCGCTGTGGATACGCTTGTGCCTGCGCAGCCCGTTCCTGTCCATGAACCCTGACCCACACACCTCACAGGTGAAAGGTCGCTCACCTGCAGAGGTTAAAGTTCACCAAGTCAGCTAAACACCAGATAATTGAGATACATGTCATACAATGTATATAAATACACAAATTTTATTTTAGTTGGGCACAAACTCAACAATGGTTAATTTTCAGACTTCCAAGAAGTGTTTTGGGTTTTTTGGGAATGTCTTAGAAGAACTGTATTGTATGATCATGGGGGTGCAACATCCTACCATCCAGGGCATGCTGGGTTACAACCCTGTCAATCAACCGAAACAGAATCTCCACCCACTCATCCGAATTCTCCCTACCCAAGAAGAAATACAAACAATACTTAATACAATACGTCTAACACTCGGAAGATGGGGAACAACAGACAATAAAACAGATAATGAGTGAGAGAGTGAATTTCCATTCAAGTACATGTAATAAGCTATACATAGAGATCTAGAGTAACGCATGAATGCAAATGCAAGAGTTGTGTTTACCAGTATGTGTTCTCTCGTGCCTCTTGAGGTACTCCCTCTCAGCAAAGCCTTTCCCACAGGTGCAGCACAGGAAGGGCTTCTCTTTGGTGTGAGTCTTCTGATGACCGCTCCAGGATGACCACTGGGTGAAGGCAGCGTCACAGTACGTACATTTGTAGGGCCTCTCTCCTGTATGGATTCTCTTGTGCACCTGGAAATAAAAATTTTCAGTACCGATACCATGGACAGTCTTTTAAGTACCATGGACAGACGCTTTCATGACCATGGACAGTCATTTTCAGTACCATGGACAGTCATTTTCAGTACCATGGACAGACATTTTCAGTACCATGGAGTCATTTTCTGTACCATGGACAGACATTTTCAGTACCATGGACAGTCATTTTCAGTACCATGGACAGACATTTTCAGTACCGAGTACAGACATTTGCAGTCCATGGACAGTCATTTTCAGTATCATGGACAGGCATTTTCAGCACTATGGACAGGCATTTTCAGTGCCATGGACAGGCATTTTCAGTGCCATGGACAGGCATTTTCAGTACCAAGGACAGACATTTTCAGTACCATGGACAGACATTTTCAGTATCATGGACAGGCATTTTCAGTATCATGGACAGGCATTTTCAGTACCAAGGACAGACATTTTCAGTACCATGGACAGACATTTTCAGTATCATGGACAGGCATTTTCAGTACCAAGGACAGACATTTTCAGTACCATGGACAGACATTTTCAGTATCATGGACAGGCATTTTCAGTACCAAGGACAGACATTTTCAGTACCATGGACAGTTATTTTCAGTCCATGAAAAGACATTTTCAGTACCATGGAGTCATTTTCAGTACCATGGACAGTCATTTTCAGTACCATGAAAAGACATTTTCAGTACCATGGACAGTCATTTTCAGTACCATGAAAAGACATTTTCAGTACCATGGACAGTCATTTTCAGTACCATGAAAAGACATTTTCAGTACCATGGACAGATATTTTCAACACTATGGACAATCATTTTCAGTACCATGGACAGTAATTTTCAGTACCATGGACAGACATTTCAGTATCATGGACAGTCATTTTCAGTACCATGGATAGATGCATGACCAGTAAATGGTGATTACTAATGACCATTGCTTTCAATTTAGATCAAAAGCTGTCTTGATGAGTTTAGAATCTTAGTTTCAAGCTTCAAGACCTTGATCACAATTTTTACATCATACTCATAGGACCTGCAATAAGGCAGCCCCACTTCTTGTATCTTATACAACTATACCTCACCTTCAAGTCCTTTAATGTATAAAAGCCTTTCCCACACAGCTCACACTGGAAGGGTCTGTCGTTGGTGTGTTTTCTGCGATGCACCTCCATCTTCCTGTTGGTCTGGAACATCTCACCGCAGAAGTCACACTGGGTGCTCTTCTTGGCCTTGAATGTGGGATCCTGTAGTTAGACATGGTACAATAATTCTTAACCAGCTACACTTGGATAGTTGTCAAAATAAAAAAAATTAAAAAATGTATTTGATTTAATGTTACCAGTTAACTGTCCGACCATGCGACCAAAGCTATTAGGGCCAAAGGAGACACAAACCAATAGGTAGAGATACATGTACGTCGATGAAGGTTAGACATCCAGGTAATACGATATGCCAAAAAGCAGTTACTCAAGCAACTGGATATGATTTTGGAAACGGTCAGACGTTTCAGCTAGTATCCACCAGCTTTCGTCAGTGACTGAGAGACCAGAGGAAAATGCAGGTTTATAAGCACAAACTATTGATGGTATGCAAATAATGTGAAGACAATTTTTTTGATAGTTTGTGCTTATAAACCTGCATTTTTCCTCTGGTCTCTCAGTCACTGACGAAAGCTAGTGGATACTAGCTGAAACGTCTGACGTTTCCAAAATCATATCCAGTTGCTTGAGTAACTGCTTTTTGACAATAGGTAGAGATCGTACAATGATTCTTAAACAGCTGTGCTTTGGTAAAAAAAATGTAGTTGATTTAATTTAACTCCTAACTTGATCACAAAAAAAATGTGTTACCCCAAGACAAATACATGGTAAATGACTTGACCTGACTACATCACACTTCTAGCAGCCCTTCGACTGGTCAGGCCTCTAGATGCTTGATGGCCAACACCTCTAGTCAGGAGAATTGGAAAGATACTAATCCTATTGAATTGCTATTAAGATCATTATGTACATGTACATGTACTAGCATGAACAAATTATTGTCAGACTGAGAACTGTCTGTTACCATGGTGTTGGAGGCTGTGATGACTGGTTTCCATGGTGATAGAAAATCCTGAGCTCCTATTGGTCTGATTTTCATAGTGATAAAGAACCCTGAGATCCTATTGGTAGTTGTGGGAATGGGAATGATTCTGGGACCAATCAGTGAGAGACTGTGTAATACAGGCTGTGGGGTCGTGTGCTCAGTCAGTAGCACGTTAGACTCACACCCAAGAGGTCGCGGGTTCGAACCCTGCCCATGTCACCGATCTTGTGCCCTTGGGAAAGGCACTTTACACGACTTTCCTTACTTCACTCAGGTAGAAATGAGTACCTAGCTTCGGTTAGGGACGTCCCTCGGATAGGACGTTAAATGGAGGTCCCGTGTTGGGGAGAGCCCCACCCCGTGCACGTTAAAGAACCCACCGCACGTATCGAAAAGAGTAGGCCCGGCCCGGACCTTCCCATTGTGAGTGGTTCAAACCTTACAGTCTGGTCTTACGCAGCTTGTACATGTGTGTACATGTACAAAACTGGTGTGTTACGCCTAAAGGCAGTTTACCGCTTATGCAAAACAAACAAAACAAACAAACACACAGGCTGTACCTTGAGGTGTTTGTCCTTGTGCTTCTGGAAGCACTCCAGAGTTTTGAACCTCTTGTCACAGATCTCACAGACATGACTGGCAGGTGAGTGGACTGTCCTCTCGTGCCGCTTCATGTCACCTTTGTCCATAAACTGTCTCTCACACTGGCCACACTTAAACGGCTTGTGGCCTGCAGATGGAACATTGACATCAACAAATTACCAGGAAGACAAATTACCAGCAAAACAACACTTCTGTACTTGTGTAAAAGTAACACAAAAAACATTTCCATAAGGCCACAACAAGTAATTTTTATGGATGACATCAGCGCGCACATTGATTTTCGCCTGATTTTGAAAAAAAAAAAACAAGAAATTTTGTTGCCCTTTGACGGTGGTCAACATTAAGAAAATGGACAAAATGGCATGCCTTGCCATGCTGGAACGTGTATGGCAGATAAACATGAAGAGAGGAGACAAGACAAGGCTCTGATTTAGTGTTTTGCCTTTTACTTTGATGCGGTGATGTATTTTATTCCTTTTATACATTCCCACGGAATCAAAACCATTTGTACAATGATTGAAAACTTTCCCTTTTCAAAGTTCTTTCAGTGAGAAATGGATGTTGTGACAGGTGGCAGTAAAGTTAGTACTATATAGCTATCGTTTCTTGTTTAACAGGGTTCATGATGTCAAAATTTCAAAATATAGGAATCTTGTTTTTTGGGGCCCGCCTTGTTTTTTTTCGCCCTCTCGCATTAGATTTGGAGTCTGCGGAGGATGTCATCCATAAAATTTACTTACTGTGGCCTAACTTAAAATCTGAAGTTTATTCTGAACAGAATATTATAAACCAAAAAATCAAATTGTCAGTATAATTTTTGGTGTTTGAACATATCTTAAATCTATTTTGTCAAGCTAAAACATATCATGAGGCAAAGGTCTCACTTCCATGCTTTCATCCCATTACAAGACACTGCTGCAGTACCTGTGTGTTCCACCTGGTGGCGCTTCAGCAGCCTGATCATCTTGAAGCTCTGTCCACACTGTTCACAGGAGTAGGTACGCTTACCGTGGTGCAGACTTCTGTGGCTGTGTAGACTCTGGACTGTGCTGTACCTACACCACAGAACGGGTACCAAAAATTTAATGATTAAAAAAGACTAGGTAAACCATAAGATGTCAGAACACTTTATGTTATCCATTAATGCATTACCCAGATTCTTTCCAAAGGACATGAGGTCAGCATTAGGCTATAGAGGACAAAACAAAAGCAATATCACAAGGCATTTCTATGCCCTTGAAAGAAAGAAAAGTATGCATGCAAGGCCTTGAAAAGGAATGTTTTGTTTTCAGTTACTGTCCTGAAAAAAAGTGTGCTGTTTTATTTTTCATTTTTCCTGTAGATTTCAGCTTAAGTGATGCACTTAATACAGTTTTACAAAGTAATCAGGACCCCTCCCTCTGTTTGCTTGTGGGGAAGGGACAAATATTTTACCTGATATTTCATAGTAGCAAAATTTCGCAAATGTTCGCAGAACTATATGATCATGGTAGTGGCAGGTGCAGAAGAAAGAAAGTCAGCGAATTATTTGTTTGCATTAATGATAAATTTGTGAACTGTGAAATATAAAAGTACCGCGAACATAGACTGATTTACACTATTGGTGGGTATGGTGGCTGGAAAAATTGCCTACTTTTTGCCACACTTGTCACACTCCAGTTTTCTGTCAGCAGGGTCTGTACGTCTGGGTCTCCGTCTCCTTCTCCTGGAGGGGGTGGGGGAGGGGGACCCCCCCGGGGTGTAGTCCTCGTCCTCACCACCCTCACCCCCCTCTGCCCCGTCCGTCTGGATGTAGATACTCTTCATCCTTCTCTTCCTGGGAGGGGGGGAGTCATCTCTTACCGGGGAGGCTAGATCCTACAGGGATGTGGAACATGGTATTTACATGTTAGATACATTATATATTTCTAACCTACATGTATATATACCTAAAACCTGTATATGACTGTCTCTTGTCATGTGATTATCACATCAAGTCACGTGACAAGAGAACTCCAAGACGAGATCTTAATCGGGTTGAAGAAGAGACAGAGTACGTCTTTAAAGCTCCCCAGCAAAGCTGAACTTTTGTTGTGTGTTTAAGTATAGATATTTTGTCAAAATTATATATTTCAATTAGATGTTAGCATCTATTAGGCCTAGGAAAAAATGTTGTGTTTCCTGTTTCCCGACTGACCCTAGAAAAAACTGCCAACCCTAGCCTTTTTTTGTGTGGATCCCTGCAAGGGACATACATTTTTTAAGCTGATCAACCACTCTATCTCCATGATCTGACACCTGAGTGATCAAACGTTGTACAATTGGTTTTCCAACATTGACATTGCAAATTTAAATGTACTCATGCAATTTTTTTTTTTTTCAGGACAAGCCATGACTTTGCTAAACTGTATTGTATACGTTGGATCGCAAGTTGGATCTCTAGAGATTGTAAAAGTCTAATAAAAAAAATTGAAAAAAAAAAGATAATTCCTATCTATGGACCCTATTTTTTTCAGGACTGAAACAGGAAACACAACTTTTTTTTTCCTAGGCCTTGTATGTACACATACTGTAAACACAGAAACTTTCACCATTTCTATAGTGACCTCAGCTCCTACTTGGAAATAGAACCACTGAAAAAGTAAGAGCATTTACAGTAGTCCACTTCCAAATGAATAGCAGACACTTGGAAGTGGAGTACTGTAAATACATTTACTTTCGTGCTAAGGAAAGTAGCCTCCATAGCATGCCGAAAACTGGGGGTTTTGGAGGTCTTCAGTGTCTTTGGGAGTTTTTATGTGCTATTTTCTGATTGCATATAGACAACATAGCCAGCCTGGTTGAATTACCCCCATTTTAGAACTGGGCTAGTCAGAAAACAGCCGAAGACCACCAAACCCCCAGTTCTATAAGCCTGCTACGGAGGCTAGAGGAAAGCACAAATGACTGCTGTACCTTGAAGGAAATCTTCTTGCCCCGAGTTCCCATCCTGGAGGGCGGTGGAGGGATGTCAAAGTCCCTTCTCTTCCTGGACCCCCCACGTGGCTTTGCCTTCTCAGCTGCTGGTCCTTTTCCTGCCTTTCCTTCTTCCTCACAACCTTCTCCATTCCCTTCCTGCTGTAGAGACGAAACATTAAAACAGAGATTTCAGACTTGTGGGGCGTGCTGGGCTTTTTTTAGTGATTGTATTAGAACTGTATTGTTGTATGTTCATGGGGAAATACCCGACTGAATTACAAGTACTTCATACATGTAGAATATATTATATATAAAATACAACACGGGGTATTCCGTATCGCCCGAGGTACCAGCCCGACCGCGTGTTGGATCGCCCGACGCCGAAGGCCAGAGGGAGATCCGAACCGCGGGAGGGCTGTGTCCGAGGGTGATGCAGAATACACCGTGTTGTATTTTATTTATGTCATACCCACCCATATAAACCCCAAAAATGCCACAACATCAATTCCAACATCCGAATTTTGTATTCGAATTTTCGAAAGCGGTGCACGCAGTTAGGGCGGAACGCGTTCAAATCATTGTATGGAACATTTGGAAGCCCGGGCCATACACGTAAAGAAGCCCGGGCCGTACCATAAAGTACGGCCTGGTTCGGAGCATCCGTATCAAATGTAATTGCGGCCCGGGTATGACATAAAACAGATTATTACCCATACAATGGTATAATTTACTCCTGCGTTACACCATGGTTTATGGAAGCCAACCGGACAGTTAGGAAACTGACTGACCTGAAGAGTAGGCCCGTCCGTGGCCTGGCTCAGAGTTGCTGCCATGCCCTGTCCGATAGCCAACAGCTGGTCAGATGAAGACAAACTCTGCAGCTTGGCATTTTCTCCAACCTCCTCATCACTAGAGACAGACTCCATGGCAGCTCCCTGGTCTGTCTTACCCGCTAACACACCTGTATGGTGGCAAGGTGGTCTTGTGGTTAGGGTTTTTGACTTATCTAAAGGTTCTGGGTTCAAATCCCTGTCAGGCCTCAGAGCTGTACCCTTGGAAAAGGCACTTTACACCTATTAGTAAGCATTTCCTCACTCTTTCCTTGACTCAGATGAAAATCAGTACCTTAGCTTCAGATTGGGATGTGTATGGGACGTAAGGTTGGTAACTTGGCAGGATTCAAACCCGGGACCTCTTGATTCTGAGCCGAATACTCTGCCGTTACACCACACAACCCCACGCTTAAAGGAGGTTTACCAGTTATGCAAAATCAACATATTAACAAACAAACAAACAGCTGCACCAGCCTCCATGATTCCAGCCACCTTGCTGATCTGAAATTTGATGATTGTTACACTTAAAGGTGGCTTACCTGTTATGCAAAATAAACAAACAAACAGCTGCACCAGCCTCCGTGATTCCAGCCACCTCTCTGATCTGAAATTTTATGTTACTCTTAAAGGTGGTTTAATAATAAAAACCTACCTACCCTAACAAACAAACAAATAAACAAACAAACAAACAATCACCTGAACCAGCCTCCGCGGCGGTGCTGATCTGAATCTTGACGACCAGGTCCAGTATGGTCTCCATCTCAAACAGCTTGGCCACCCTGATGAAGTCTGAGTGCTGCGGCTCCTCCGGGGGGATCCTCCCCGTGTACATGAACTCCAGGATGTGGGAGAAACTGTCGGGGGTGATGTCACTGATGGCCAGGTCAAAGGGTATGACCCCGCCGCTCTGGTTACAGAAGAGTGTGTGGAAGTGAGCGCTGTAGGACGCCAGCACGGCCTTGTGAGCTGGGAAGGACTGGTCACCAACCTGAAACAACAGAACAGTACAAACATGAAAGTTCATCTGTGTTGGTAGTTACATGTTTAAAATTAAAACTTTTGTTTCAACACAAAAAAATTCTCTCACCTAGAGCTTTTGACCAGTCACTCTGGTCTTCCTCAGTAGACTGACCCAGTGAAGCTTGTAGGGTGTTGAGCCATTTACATCAGGGCCCATCACCCTACATTGAACCGCGGCAGGGGTCGACATCGTCTACCAGATACCTTTGACCCAGTGTTGACGTCACACTTCAAAGAAGCCACGTGACAAGCTTCACTGGGTCAGTCTACTGAGGAAGACCAGAGTGACTGGTCGAAAGCTCTAGGTGAGATAATTTTTTTTGTGTTGGAACAAAAGTTTCAACTTTAAAAGAACAGTACAAAGATTTTATAATTAAAATGTAATCAATATTTTGAGATTATAAAGGATACACATGTATGAAGTATATATATATAATGATGATAATGAGTGCTCCAGAGTCTCTTCTATCATTATTATATTAGGTACAAAGACACAAGCAGACAGCCCAAGTGTGGAATTCCGGAATAACAGGAGCGGTGACTGGGTCCCGCGGTTATGGGAATAAAAATGGAACTCCACTACACTTGTATATTCCTAGCCCTTTGCACAGTACTTAGCAGGGCTGAGCCAGGATCACAGCCAAAAGACAAACAGGAGATAAAGAAAGTACAGGTCACATGCAACTTCAGAACCGATTGCACATCTGACTGGGCCACTTTTGCTTTCATGATTAAGCACAGTGGGGCTAACGGAACTCACGTCAGTAGCAAGAAAATGCTATTGCACAATAGTGGCACAAAGTTTTCACTGATCATGATTCTGATCTTAAGCGGGGATATTGAGATCAACCCAGGGCCTAGACCACCAAAGTTTCCATGTGGGAGTTGTAACAAGGCAGTACGTAACACCCATAATGCAATATGCTGTGATGAATGCGATAGATGGTACCACAGTGACTGCATTGGGCTATGTTCTCAAGTATACAGTGCACTAGAAACCCACCGATCATACTCGTGGGTATGTTGTGACTGTGGTATACCCAACTTTGCATCGGCCATATTCGATATCACTGATGAAACATTCCATTCAGTAAACTCATTTGACACGCTGAGTTCTGACTCAAGTTTACCAGACGAAATCCCAATGGCTACATCCACTCCACTTAAATCAAAGCAGGGTAATTCTCAAACGAGGGGTCATAGTCACAAGAGATCCAAAAGTAAACTTCTCCTAGTAAACTGTCAGAGTGTGCGGAACAAAACAGCTGAACTGGCGACAGTACATGTAGTTGACACTTACAAGCCAGATATAGTAGCAGGTACAGAGTCATGGCTCAACCAAAACATAGCAAGTAGTGAAATATTCCCCAGCAACTACATAGCACACCGGAAAGACAGACAGACTGGCCAAGGAGGTGGTGTATTTCAGGCCAACAGAGATGATCTAATTGTTACCCATAGGCCAGACCTTGACACAGACTGCGAGGTTCTGTGGACACAAACTCAACTTGCAGGAAGGAAACCACTGATAATAGGTACATACTACAGACCCCCATCAGACCAGGGCAATAGTCTGGATGAACTTGACAGGTCTATAGGTAAAATGGGAGCAAAAATAAACTCTGACAATGTGATCATTCTTGGCGATTTCAACACCCCTGGCATCAAATGGGATACTACTGTAGCTGACAACAGTCAGGCCTACACAGGCCAAGCAGAGAAACTACTAAACCTAATGGATAACCACGGGTTATTTCAAACAGTCCAGGAACCAACTAGAAATGGTAATCTCTTGGACCTGGTCTTAGTTAATAACCCCAACATAATTGAGAAGACCACAGTAGTCCCGGGGATAAGTGACCACGACATGGTTCTAGTGGACGTTAACCTGGCACTGAAACAAAACAGGAAACCTAAGAGAAAAGTGTACATCCGCACAAAAGCCGACGAACCAGCCATTAAGAAAGACCTAACGGATTATGCAACTAACTTTCACAAAAGAACTCAGGATATGTCAGTTACACAGAAGTGGTCAGACTTCAAAGACAAAATGAAAGACACGATGAACAAGCACATCCCTAGTAAGATAACATCAAGCAGATACAACTTGCCTTGGTTCAACAGAAACCTAAGGAGGCACTGTCGTAAGAAGCAGCGGCTCTATAACAAAGCTAAGAAAACAGGCCAAGAGGAAGACTGGAACAAATATAAGAGAGTTAAGAAGGGAGTTCAGAAAAGCATAAGACAAGCACACTCTAAATACGTGGCAGACATACTGGGAGAAGCTATAGTTGACAAACCCAAAACATTCTGGTCGTACATAAAAGGACTGAGGAAAGACCTTGTCGGGGTAGCACCCCTAAAGGTGGGAAATACCATTATCAGTGACAGCGGGAAAAAAGCAGAAGTACTCAGTTCACAGTTCAAAAGTGTTTTCACAGAGGAAGACACCACAGATATGCCATCTCTAGGCCAGCCCTGTACTCCTCCAATGGAACATATAGTAGTTTCTATTGATGGTGTCGAAAAAATGCTTCAAGGTCTCAATCCCTCTAAAGCATCCGGACCAGACCAAATACCACCGTGGTTCCTCAAGTTGACAGCTAGTGAAATCGCGCCTGTTCTAACCAATATTTTCCAACACTCGCTAAACACTGCAGAAATCCCTAAAGATTGGAGGGATGCAAATATATGCGCCATCTTTAAAAAAGGAGATAGAGCGGTCCCCAGCAACTACAGACCTGTTTCACTGACCTGCATATCCTGCAAACTACTTGAACATATCATCCATAGCCAAATCATGAAGCACCTAGAAAGTTACAGTATATTAACGGATTACCAGCATGGATTCAGAGCCAAACGATCCACAGAAACACAGCTTATACTAACAGTCCATGACATAGCTGGCGCACTAAACAGTAAACGGCAGGTAGATTTAGCAATACTTGATTTCACTAAAGCCTTTGATAAAGTCCCCCATGGCAGGCTCATCTCAAAACTGGAGTATTATGGAATCCAAGGCCCTACGCTGAATTGGTTAAAGGCTTTCCTGACCAACAGGGAGCAAACAGTAGTGGTTGAAGGGAAGGCGTCGGCTCCAGTTAAAGTAGCGTCTGGGGTCCCTCAAGGAACCGTCCTGGGGCCATTGCTCTTTCTCTTGTATATAAATGACCTACCAGATCAGCTTGACTCAAATGTGAGGTTATTTGCCGATGACTGTCTATTGTATGTAGAGCTTTCTACACAGACCGACTCACAACTTCTCCAAAAAGACCTGAACACCCTGGAAGAATGGCAAAGCAAATGGCTCATGCAGTTTAATCCCGAAAAATGCTACATTATGCACATAACAAACAAACGAACACCACATGCAACTAGCTACCAGTTTTGTGGTCAGGCTTTAGCAACCACAAAAATCCATCCGTATCTGGGCGTCACGCTGACAAGCGGACTGAAGTGGGGTGCACATGTTAATAATATCACAACTAAGGCGAAACAGACATTGGGAGTGATTAAACGTAATCTGTGGGCATGTCCAACGAGAGTAAAATCGCTTGCATACACGTCACTTGTAAGACCGAATCTAGAATACGCTGCGACAGTATGGGACCCATATACAAAGAAAGAGAAAGACAAATTGGAAAGGGTACAGAATCAAGCTGCAAGATTCTGTATGAACAACTATGTAAGAGGTGCTAGTGTCACGGAAATGAAAAGAAACCTACAGTGGACCTTACTTGAAGACAGAAGAAAGATGTCTAGACTATGCATGATGTACAAAATGACTAATAAACTGGTGGATGTCCCAACTACTAAGTACCTAATACCAGCTCAGAAGAGAACAAGAAATAGCCACGCATTCAAGTACCAGAGTTATCAACCAAGGATTGAGGTGTTCAAGAATTCATTCTTTCCTAGAACTATCGCAGAGTGGAACTCACTGTCACCAAGTACAGTAGGGGCACTGTCAATAGATAGCTTTAAACAATGTCTAGAGCTAGAAGTTCAAGGGTTAGGTGTAACAAGTCGATCGGTGTAATATAGCCAGCTGCCGCCGCGCCGCGTGCCTGCGAAGCTGGTGTGTTACGCCGAAAGGCGGTTATACCGGCTATACAGATACAGATACAGATACAGATAAGACTTGAACAGCTGAGCTCCATAATGTGAGTCTGACCACAGACAGCATATTCCCTGATTGGTAACAACAACCTGCCCCCCCACAATGTGTACTGTAAAAACATTAGCCAAAACAACCAACACACAAGCAGTGGTTTTATATTCCTTGAGTTACAATGAAGTTGACCTCAGGTGAGTGGCAAAATAGATCGTGTTTCTTTTTCCAGGGATTTAAAATGGCGTATCTTCTTAAAACTGCATACAGACGGAGGATCCTGGATGGTTTTCTCTCCTGTGCTATCTCCTAGCAGCCTGACAAAAAGACGTAAGGCACTAGCATAGGTAAGCACAGCTTCTATTATGAGCATTTGGAAAGCCAACATACATGTTAACGGTGGCTTAAGGACTGCAGAGAAACTTTGATAGACGAACGGCAAAAAATCAGCTGACTGTTCACTTTGTCGAGAACCTGTAACTTTGTAGAAGATGACAGCAACAATTCAGAACCTGTCATGAAAGTTCATCCGTGTTGGTAGTTACATGTTTAAAGATAAAACTTTTGGTCCAACACAAAAAATTCTCTCTGGTCAAAAGCTCTAGGTGAGAGAATTTTTTGTGTTGGACCAAACGTTTTAACTTAAACAATTCAGAACCTGTTGAGAACTTGTAAGTAACCTTAAAGCACTCAAGACTTCCTGACAACCATCTTTTGTCCAACCTGTGCGAGGAATTTTCCTAGAAAACTCAGGTGGAGGACAGATGAACATGTACAAGCACCCAAGAAGATATGTAGATCTGTTCTGCCTGAAGTGTTAGGTGCCAGTTTGAATTTGTAGCTGGAAGATCGAAGCTAATACTGACCAATGTTATTAATTAGATGAAGAAAAGCTTGTGATACAGTTCAGGTACTTATTATTTGGATAATGCACAGTGTAATGTTTGGTCACAACTTACATATACATGTACTAGTGTCTGTAACATTATGCTTTACCTGCCAGGTAACATTATAAGATCCAAAGTGTTTGTTTTTACAGAGAAATCTGATGATGTAATGTAAGAATTGGAACTGAGAGGACAGCAATAAGTTTGCAACATGTCTAAACAAGGTGAGATCACAGAATCATACAACAATCATAATTCAACACTTGAATGTCCTGCCATATTTCATGTCAACTCTTCTTGAAATGCCTAGTATTATGATTATCATATATATGTATTTTGAACATAAAATCATATTCTATTGTACGTATAGTCTGTTTAATGCTTGTTTCTTCACACTGTACATTTCCTTGCAGGTGTCAAGGATTATTTCATCTTCATAAAGAACAAAGTGAGCTCAGACTGGAAGGACCTGGCTTGGTGTCTGGGGTTTGACACACCAGACATTGATAACATTGAAGGCAAACGCCACGATGACAAGTCCCGCTGTATGGACCTGTTACAGCAATGGTACAAACGTGAGGGAAAAGCCGCCACCATACATGTGCTGATGAAGGCACTACAAGAGGCAGAGTTACAACATGTTGTGGACAGTCTGAAGGACAAATATCCAGGTACGAGCCTTTTGTGTGATGAGAAAGTCTACTATAAATATTTATAATTCAGTCAAAATATGACAAGCATTATTTTTATGTCTGACCTTCTCTTTCATGATATGGACTATTCCATTTTTCATCTGACAGCTATATTGTGCGAGACAAGAGTCAAGACAAGGTAGATATTGTAACGTGTGTGGACATGTATGTGTTAATTAGATACCAAGTGATATATCATACATTGCCTGTAAAATCTGAATCTATTTGACTTTTAAAATCCTTTTTTAACAGAGCTTACAGACCTTCCTGTGCATGTAAACTTGGGCACAGTGCAAGATATCAATGCCAGGGTTTCGGAACGGCTGCTGGAACTGGAGACAACACTATTCACCCCAGAAGTGCTTCGAGACCGCAGACGCTACAAAAAAATACTAAAACTTTTCCAGAAACACAAGGTTATTTTGAAAGAAATTTTGAAGGGATCCGTCATCCTCCTCCTGACGTTCCTGCGCCAGACTGATGTGGACAGGTTCTACCACAACCACTACAGAGTGGGGGAGGGAACCCTGTCTCAACAACTCTCACACATCCTCATCTCAGACGACCTACGGGACATGGTCAAAGGCTCCCATCTGATCGTGAGGCTCCATGTGAAGCATGAAGACTATGTGCGAGTACGAGACAGACTGGGGCAAAGTAAGAACCACATTTAATATAATGTAGTTTCACAAGTTCTTGTTATTGGCAGAAAGATGGCTTAAATTATTTAAAGATTGAGGAAACTGCCAACATTTGCCAATAATTCATTGCTTTTAGTTTAGTACAAAAATTGCCACAATAACTAAAACAGGAAAATCTTAATGTACATGTAGTATCAAGAATCGGATACTTTCGTACTAATGCAATCTTTCCTCATGAACAGAACTGGACCGTTCCACTTCTGTCGACAACCTGCTGACCCTGCCACCCCCCAGTAGACATGTGGACCGTTCCAGCCTGAGAGGCCTAGACCTGGCTGTGATTGGTCGAGAGGACCAGCCCTGTACAGACGGGACTGATGACATCACCATGCCGTACAGACAAGTACAGTCAGCCGTACGAACAGCTAGAGAGAAATACAAACAAGAGGTGAAAGTTCAGCTTGAGACGATGCAGGGGCAGGTGCAGACAGGCAGGATTGGAGTAGATGCCATGATGAAGGAGGTAAAGATGCTGAGAGAGGAAAGGGAGAAAGCACAAAAAATCCTCCTGGAACAGAAGGCAGAAATGAATGAGAAAATCCAGCAGCTTGAAGAGACCAACAAGGAGATGGAGACCACAATAGAGAAGTTGCGGACTGCCAAGCAACCACTGGAGGGTGCACGTGGAAGTCAGCAGAAAGATCGAGTACAAACCATGTCAGACCAACATCCCTTGAAATCGGTGGATAGGTCCACAGCAACAAATACAGAACAAGTCAAACAGTCAGTGGTTCAGCCTGAAAGGAAAGATGCAAGCACAAATGTCAGACCAGTCAATGTGGGACAACCATGGGTGGAAAAAGTCAGCTTTGGGGGAAGGGGTTCAAGTAAGTTTGACTATCCTATAGGGGTAACTGTCTCAGAAGACAATGAGGTCTACATTGCTGATTATAGTAACAGCAGAATCCAGGTGTTCGCAATGGGTGGTGTTTATATCAGAGAGTTCACACCAACTCTGCCAGGGGAAAGTAATAAAAGGTTAAGACCGGAGGATGTTGCTGTAGATAGAAATGACCTGTGGGTGGTGAGTAAGGATCGCGTAGTGCAGTATTCCCGGGAAGGCACCAGTTTGGCCACAATACATCTCCCATGTGTTGAATACGTCCGTGGAGTAACTGTAGTTATGGCAACAGAACAGGTGATTGTTACAGAGTATGACGGGCAGAATGGTCGACTTCGAGTGTTTAACCAAGATGGTTCTGAGGTGGGGACATACGGTTCAGGTCATAGGTCACCAGAACCTTGGTGGCCAAGATATGTCACTGTGGATGGCGAGGGGAACATTCTGGTCACTGGTGACAGAAATCACTGTGTCCATGTCTTGGACAGAGAGGGGAACTTCAAGTTCAAGTTTGGGAGTGAGGGATGTGATGACAGTCAGTTTAAAAGTCCCCAGGGTATTTGTGTAGATGGGATGGGAAACATCATTGTGGCCGACAGAGGCAATTGTTGCGTGAAAATGTTTGACAGTCAGGGCAGATTTCTGTGTCATGTTGCAAGTGGTATGAAGGGTCCCAAGGCTGTTGCTGTGTCACCAGGTGGAGATGTGGTGGTGACTGATAGATTATTTCCTAATGTATCGAATGTATCAGTCTGGACACAGGGTTAGTGCTGTACAAGATACAGGAGAAACTAGAGAAGTAACATTTGCAAAGCAAATGCATAATGTTTACCTTCGGACATGGTCTGCCCTGTTAATTTTTACTCAAACACATTCACATACATGTACTATGAGTATATGGTGACAGGAGTAGAGCAGACCATGAAATTGCAACATTATGTGACCCAACACCAGTCACCATGGTGACAGACGTCAACAAATCATGTCATTGGCCAGGTCAGAGGTTAGTGTTTGGAACAGAAGAGGAGGAGGAAGAAACTGAGTAAAAACAATATGTTTTCCTTCAGTAAACATATAAATATCACTGCATGGTTCTCACAAGGAGAAAGCACACAATCAAAAACCCGCCGTGCCCTTTGTTTGATCCGCTCAATCCTGCCGCGATTCATAGCAACAAGTCGCAGCATCTTTGCCCTGCTCTGTCATGCAAATGAGCCTAGGCATGATGTCACAACCTCCGATTTCCACCGAGACCAGGCCAACAAGAAATGATGTGGCTCAGATTTTCGATGATTTCCTTATTCAGAACATTCGGCAGCTGCGCGATAATCATCCTCGGTGTGAACAAAATGGCCGACATGTGTAGTTGTTTTGTTTTTTTAGTATATTGATCAGGGAGACATTTTCAAGATTCAATACATTTCAAGGATCTGAGGATCTATGAAATGATAAAATGCAAGAGATGTAAAGGAATAACGACCTTACAGTAATGTTATGGGTTACAAAGCTATATTGTAATAAATATATGGCATTTTTTTATTAGTTTGAGAAGGTAGTTATGGAGGCTTGTATATTTGCAAAACATATTTCCAAATTGCCCAACAAAATTTTGACTCATCTGCAATTATGTATTGCAGAGCACTGTGGTTAGTATTTCTAACCACTGGTATAGCACAATGGATAGACAAACTGACTACTTTTGTAATGGATGAATGTATTATTTGTCTGACCCAGTATGTCTCAAATACCAGCTGTACTACAGATAAGTGCTGGTAAAATTGAAAGTAACTGCACATATATATAACGTTAATATATTTCAAAGTCCACCAGCACATATATAGCTATAGTCTAAGTATACTTGTGTGTGTGTGAAGTTTTGCTCCCTTTTCTGATTGTTACCACTGGAATGCCTGAAACTTGTGTAAAAA